CATATCCCGCGAACCGACACTTCGTGCTGCCATGGGGGTCCGCCGCACGCAGCACATTGTTGTGCTCCGTCCGCTGCTTTTCCTTGCTGCCGCTGCCACCTCGACGCCGTAGGTGCCGTCCTCCCTGGCCGACCGCGTCCGTTGCCACGTCGAGCCGCTGCCATCGCCTGGCACTCAGCCGTGCTCGAGCTGCCCAACGATTCACCTTGCCCGTATTCTTCCACAGCCGCTGCATCCTTCTCCGCCGCCTCCATGTTCACTGCCAAGCTATACGCTTTCCCATATTCCAACGTGCCTTCTGCGAATAGTCGTTGCCTTATAGTTTCACTTAGAATACCGCACACTAGCTGATCTCTTAAACTTTCTTCCAACCATTGACCAAATTCACAAGATTTCGACATTCTCTTCAATATTGCTGCATACTCCGCTATTGTTTCACAACTTTTTTGTTTTCTATGCCGGAATTTATATCTTTCTGCGAGGACACTTGGTTTTGGTTGCAGATGTTTTTCTAGAATGTTTGTGATTTCCAAAAAAAGATTTATCTTTTGGTTTGGTTGGAGTACATAAATTAACTAACAGTTCGTAACACTCGGCTCCCATCACGGTAATTAACGTCGGAACTTGTAAATCCTCCGAAATTTTGTTGACAACAAAATATTGTTCGAGGCGGTCGACGTATGACCTCCAATCGTCCTTATGTAGGTCAAACTCAGGAATTTTTCCAATCGACATTTTAAATAAATACTTGTCGTTTACAAATACTTTTCCAAGAGTTCGTTGCTATCCTCGTCGCCACTGAAATATCCTGGATAACTCGGTATTTAAATAATAAAACACGGTGTGACTTCATAACATGTATTGAGCGACTGGCTAGTGAAGACGCGCGGTGGCGCCTACCTGCATAGTACAATGTTAATCTATACCTACATATATCACAAGCACAATTGGGGGGATTCCGTCAGGCCCACTCGACTCGTGGATGTCCAGGGAGAGGAGTGCTTTGGGAACCGAGCGCTGTGTGAACTGCACTTCCGGCATGGAGCACTCACACTGCGGGATGGTTGGCGGCGTACTCCCCCGTCATCGAGAGTCGAGTTGGACGCAAAGAAAGAGCCTAGAAGTTCGGCTTTCTCCTATGCGGTATGGGCCAGTGAGTCGTCCTCCCTGTGCAGAGATGGAAAAGATGGCTGACAGAAATTCCCCTGAACAGCCTTGGCGAGAGACCAGAATGCACGGGTTCCAGAAGGAAGGCGGACTAGTTTCTCGTCAATTCTGCCTATGTGCTCTGGCTTTGCCTTGGCAATGACTCTTTTGAAGGACCTAGAGGCGGAATTATACTTCTTTTTTAGTTGGTGTTTACATCCCGGGACGCTGATGCGTCAGCGCAGGCTCGGTAGTACTCTTGCTTATAGCATGATGCTATTTTACAGGAGCGACCAAACCATGGCTGAGATTTGCTTCCAATGGGCACCACAGAGGAACAAAAAGTTCCATACTCTGAAGTACCACATCAGTGACAGAATCCGCAACAACGTTGGGATCGTCCGGCGAGAAGCAAACCCGCCCCCAAGGGTAGGATCCAAAGAAAGACCGCATCCCATCCCAATCGGCTGACCTATAGTGCCAAAGAAGGCGGCAGCCTGCAGATTGCAACTGCGATTTCAGCGTGAGTGGCACCACACTCCGAACAAGATAATGGTCCGAGGAGCCTTAAGGGGCGTCAACGGAAATCTGATATCCGTCCGGATGAGAGGTCAGCGGAAGGTCCAACAGGGAAGATGCATGATCCTCCACATCTGGAATCCGCGTAGGCGAAGTAACCAGTTATGTCAGACCATAAGCCAAGGCAAAATCATGAACAAATCTCCCCGCATGATCGGTTAAACGTGAACTAAGCCATTCGGCGTGATGGGCGTTAAAGTCGACGAGGATCACGATCTCTACTGAGGGGATCTGCTGTAGCAACGAATTTGTAGCCATTTACGGTCTGTTTCGGCATTACCGCTATGGGACCTACAGAGGCACCCGTAGACGCGTGGATGGTCGTCGCTGTTTACGCGTAGCCAAAGGATGGACAGGTCCGAACCTTCAAGTCTGCCGAGGCGTCGAGAACAGATGTCCTCTCTGACGTAAACGCAAACTCCAGCCCGAGGCACATAGGAGTGTTCCAGTTTGTACCCCGGGTAGGAGAGATACGAGACATCAGCCGGAGAGGACACCTGCGTCTCGGTCAGAAAGAGCAGAGCCGGCCTCGCCGTCTCGAGATGGTAGTGGACGTGCGTTTAGGTTAGGGTGAAGTCACCTGATATTGCAGAAATTCACGGACAGCGTGGCAGGGGTCACCTCGGTTTTGTTGCTCCGTTTGCCCCGAGCAGTTGTAGTCTTGAGCGGAATTTTGCCCCCCCCCCCCATAATACGCGGGGCAGCCTGAGCACCCACGCTTAGAAGTGGAGAAACATGATCGTGGATGCTCAGCGAGTGATTCTCCTGCGGTGCTGGTACCCTCCTGGGGTAGTCTATCATCATTTAATTCCGCTACCATGTTGTTGGGGGGGGGGGGATTTGGGCCTCCGGATACCTGCACTCACCACACAAAACGCGGAAGCAGAGCTTCCACTTCACGCCGGTATTCTGTGAGGTCGTGGTACCACCCCAGTTTGAGCCGGCCCATACGTGCAACAGCAAAGCTGCCGCGTGACTCTACCGCTGTTATATTTTAGATATTTAAAGGGAAAGCTTTGTAAAGTCAGGCGTGCACAAATTTCTGTTTTTTGTTAATACGTGCATATGGCTCTCATGATACAGGTCTACGTGCCTAGTGTGAGAACCACTGCTAAATTATTTGTAAAGGTGCTAACTGTTAAGTGAAGTATTTTCATTTTTTTTTTCATTTTTATCATAATACATCGACCATTTAAAAAAGTTCATTGAAAAATTTCAATATTAGCAATGTACAATAAAGTATGTTTTTTGTAGTTTACTTAAGGTTAAGGGTGACAAGACGTTTTAGAATATACCAGTTTAATTTGAAATTTTTAAGTAAGTTACATACTTACTTTCAATATTATCATGTCAAATAATTATATCCGTTTCTCTACACTCAATATACGAAACGAAGCAGTATTAGCTTCTATTTAACGCTGGTATTCTGTGAGAGCGTGATCCTTCCCTGGTCATGATTGTCATCATTACAGCCTACAATTCTACTGCCGAACATAGGCATCCCCCAAGGAATGCCACAAAGCACGGTCCTGAGCCTCAGTCTTCACTCCATCTAGTTGGGGGTCGCCCTACACTACCGGACGAGGTTGTCGGTTCTTCGAGCTGTATGGCCCGCCCATTGCCACTTCAGGTTACTAATCCGTTGGGCTATGTCTGTCCATTGACTTACTTAATCGGACTATTTATCCCAGGTAAACCTACTCGTCAACTAAGAGCTCCCAACAACTACCGGCATAGATGTGACATGGACATTAAACATGATCTTTGTTTTGTCCGTGTTCATTTTAAGACCTATTCGTTAGGAGGCACTATTGATGTCCTCATGAGGTCTAATGTCAAAATAACAGCTTTTTACTAAGTGCATATGAAAGCATATACGACACTTAGATATAACAAAAAAAAAAACAACAATTATTACATTTTTGTCTCTCGTCGTTGTCTTTGTTGTCTTGTATCTCCAAAAAGGCTCAACTGCACCTATATTATAGTTGTAGCATGAATGGGTCGGCTCGATCGGGCTAGGACCACGCTCTCACAGAATACCAAAGTAAAATAGCAGCTTAATGATTTTGTGTTTCGTATGGTTAGTATAGAACCGGAGACCCTTTTTACTGGAAACGCGGCATTTCATCTTAGTCCTCACGGGTGACAACACCCCTACATTTTGGTTCTTAATCGAGGATAAATGTAGGTATCTATGGGCTACAGCAACCACTTACCTTCAGGTGAACTGTGTGCCCGTTTGTCATCCTATTGTAAAAAAAGGTGGTTCACGTCTGTTTCTGCGATCTGATTCAATCGGTTATAATAAAAACTAGGATTTCTCCGTGTATCGTCCGCGTAGAATTTATACATAAAACCTAAAATTCTTAATAAACGTTTTTAGGCAAGTTGTTCAATTGTCGATAAACCAGTTTAAAATCAGATTTTTCGCCATTATCTTGAACTGTTTAAAGTATGGGAAAAATACTACTTTAATAACTAAAGATTTATTAATTTACCTTAAAAATCTATGTATGTATGCTAGTTTGTCAAACATATTCCATTAAAAAAAATTGATACTTAAAACAATGATACATAAACGTGACTACAACATTCACTTACTATCAGGTGGATAGTATGCTCATTTGTCAATTCTACTTCTATAAAAATGCAGTAAGTACAATATTTAAAGCAGTATTATCTCTTATAATTCAGAAAAATCAATCAGAGAGAAGCGTTTTACAATTTAATTATTAATATACAAGACTGTAATAGACCATTTCGCTCCGTGAATTGCGCTCGATTGCTACGAAGAGTCACTTCACAACAAGTGATTGCCAGGTAGTATGCGGAAATGGCATATTAGTGTTAAAAGTCTTTTATGGTTTAAGACATTTATTTTCTCAAAAGATTTACAAATCACTTACAGAGAAATACACATTATAAAGAAGAAAAAAAAAAACATTAACCCTTAATTTGGCAAAGAATAAAATGTAATAAAATCATAATTTTTTTTTATAAAAATTTATTGTAAACATTTGTAGGTGTTACAAAAAAATAGTGAAAAAAATATAGGAACTTCAGATTTCCTGAAAAACAATGTATGTCACAGCATACATTGCCAAGTGCCCATAAAAACATTAAGGAAATGTGTTGTATGCCGGGACATACACAGCCAATTACAGTACAAAATGATAATAATAATACCAGAATTTACTGTCCCACTGCTGGGCAAAGGCCTCTTCTATAATGCAAAAAAGAAACATGGTAACAACGCCTAGAAAAGGCCAACTTTACGCATTATTGATACATATGTCGAGAATTTGCGCAAATATGCCGATGTACCAACGCCGGGTCTTGAATGGGGTTTTGTAAAGAGAAATGAGCATATCGGCTAAATCGACTCCCCCCATATGTTTATTATAGTCTTTGACAATTTGAGGGCAATCTACATCCACTTTGTTTTTAGAGTCCTTGCAGTATCTTTTAATTTTTTCTACTGGCTCTGCACCTACGTAAGAACTTATCAATGTTACGGCTTTGTTGTCGTTCCACCGTACTATTGCTAATCGGTTTTTATCGCAGACCACTTGAGCATAACTGCCGCGGGGTTTCTTTTTCATATCTTTTTCTGAGGGCAGAACTGCTTCAGCTCCTCTCAACCTGTTGCTTCTGACTGTTCCCAATCCAAATATTCCATAGTCTTCTCTAAGTATATAAAGTATGTCCGGGCAAGTAAAGAAATTGTCGCAGAAAACAAAAGCCGGTTTATTTTTTATACTTTTACACAAAGCAATGACAACCTGAGCCCCAAATCCAATGGAAACTTCCTTATCTGTAAAAGTATGAAATCTAAATGTGTCCTCGCCACCATACAAAAGAAAATCATAAATCATGCCCGACACTCCAGCACGAACATAGTTTTTGAAGCCCCACTTGTTAGGTTTATCCTTCATGTATTGACGTCGCTTACCCGCTTTGGTCCCTTTATAGGGAATCATCATTTCGTCAATGCTGTATTTCTTTTCATTATCTTGAGCTAAGCAATTTTCTCGAATTTTTTGTAATAAAGGCCTAACTTTATAATATCTGTCGGAGTCTTGTATATTGTTATCAACAAAATGCAAATGACGACGGATTTGTTGATACCGTTTTAGAGACATCAAATCGGCTATGGGATCGTATCTGTACCGCAAACTCCAGTAATCGGTGTACGAGGGCATACTAATAACACCCATGATAATATGAATTGCTAAAAAATCTCGCAATTCATCTTCGGTCAAGCCAAGAGAGCGCCCAGTTTTGAATACTGCGTATGAGTTTGTTTGCTCTACGATATCTACTAAAACGTCAGGGGAAAAGAATTTACAGAAATAACCGAGTGAAGTTATTACAAACAAATTAATACCTAATTTCGTTTAATATGTCGGTGTGATTTGAGTCTTCTTCTACAGTTGCCTTGTGTCGAAAAACTGTTTTTTTCCACTGATAGTTCAGAGTGACCTTGGTGATTCGAATAGGTCGTCTAACAGCAGAAACAGTGGGCCGTTGCGATCTGGTACTCGTATTTCTGGGACGCGACTTGGAAGAAGCCCTTATGCGAGCTGCAACTAAGCCAGTTATGGAGCCACTTGCTGTTGGTTCAGGCGGTGCGGGGGGGTTCAGTGCACTTCTGCAGGTGTTGCTGGGGTTGCAGGAGTAGCGGGAGTTGCTGGGAGTGACGGAATGTCACTCAGGATTGGCACTTTTTTACAATTTGGTTCTAGGGACGGGCTTGAATATACGCTTCGAAAAATTGGTGTGAGTCGAAGATTCTGGTCGGAGGGGTCTTCATCATCATCTAAAATATTGAGCCTTTCCATTGAGCTATCTATAGAAGGTGCAGAGGAAGATGTCGCGGAAAGCGGGGTGCGCACACGTAATTCATCGTCAGAACTTTCGCTACCGTCAGAGGGTGCATGCTCAGTAGGCACAAGCGCTAAAATTCTACCAGCACGAGTTAGAAATTTTTGCTGCCGACAAAGAAAATAAATCGTGCTATAAAACCAAGTAAATAAAAAAAGCATCCTCAAATTGGCAATGTATGCCGTGATATACAAACAAAATGGCGGGTGTTTCGTTACAAACTTGGCAGTGTATGTCACGTCATACATCATGTTAGTGATCAAAACAGAACCATTCAATGCAATAGAAACATCACAATTATTATCATACTTATTCCATTACATAATAAAGCATATATTTTAGTCATTACACCTGTCCTAAACTAAGTAATATTCATAATAATAGAATAAATACCTTAGACAACGCAGTTGACGTCCGCCGGGTAGCCATTTTTTTCAAGTTATGTCAAAATAAATGTTGCTACATGTGTGTTTATTTTTTCCACCAAATAACAGTTAGTGTTGCAACATAAGAATGTTAATTTTCCACACGGAAGATGTAATTTTTTTAACAAATCTTTTTTTTAAGTTCATGTATGACGGTACATACAGTGCCAAATTAAGGGTTACGCCAATCGGCGTAGTGAGCTAGTATTATAATAGGTCGCTAAAACTTATTTTCTAATTCAGTGCTTAATAACTTATTTAGTAAATATTACACATAAGTAAATAGGGTAGTTGCAAAAGTATTCGTACCAAAGCTAAGCAGACCATCGTTACTTCGGTCAAAATTGAATGAATGTGGCGAGTTATTTGTTAAGGCCTATGACACATTAATTATTTTATTGTGTTCAAAATTAATTTATAGTGTTAGCTGTTATTGTTCGTATTTATCTTTTAAAACCATTACTACATGTAATACGATACTATAATTAGGTAGTGTTTCTTTATTTAGTATATTATATATTTAGGTATTAATTTGTTTGTAATAATATAAGTAGTGTTGCACATACGCAAAATGCAACGTATATATACATACATACACACATACGTACATACTCATATACACACATATAGATATATACACAAATATATGTATAAGTTATCTTGTCTCATATATATAATCATACTGTGTATAAGTAATTATATTGTATTATCTCTATACAACTATTTTATTGTAGATATTATGATTAAGGTTACATGTGTACTTCATATATTATGTAGATTAGAGATTTGTGATTATTAAGTTATTATGAAAAATCCTTTAAAATGTGACTTTTTAGCAATTTCTTAAAAGTGGACAGGGATTTTGTTTCTTTAATGTTATTAGGTAATTTGTTGTAGTGTTGAGCTCCCTCATAAAGAACACTCCTTTTACGCTTCAAATAAATAGAATGAATTGGCCATCGCAAGAAAACACAATGTATCTCACAAGTAATACATATTGTATTAAATTAAATTGCTTAGTGCGATTGTCAAATCAATCTATATATTTAAAACATGTAAGATTTTTAACATTGATTTGGTCACTATAAAATGTTGTTAGGTTAGCTAGTTGCGTGATAACTTAAAACAGAAAGACCCTTATGTAGGGACTGAATAAATTAACGGACTTGGTATTACATGGATATCACAACTTTTTACGGTAGAAGAATTGAGTTGCGAGACTTGGTTTTTTTTTTACAAGTTATGTTTTAGATGGTATCTCATTTCTTTTTGTAGATAGTCCTACTTTTTCCTTTCCGGTACCTTCCAGTTCTTGAATACCAACAACGTACCTATCTACATCTATAACACTTATATATGTACACCGATTCATTCACTGCAAATGTAACTTTGTAGTTATTTATGCAGTTGGTGTATCTTAAAAACTGGACTGAAATTGAAAAGAATTTTAGTTTCTCATTTATTTATATACTAAACACTAATTGTATTTTAAATTTGAAGCTTCTTTGTCTGCTGGAAGTGCCTTAGAGCTTTGATGATCGGTCAGTCAGTGAGTGACAAAATGAAGAAATTTTGACTATTTATTATTCTTAAACTACTAATTCGAATTGAACGAAATTTGAAATATACTATGTTTATACAGTCCTTACTTGGTTACTGAAAACGTAAGTTTCTAGTTAGATCCACAACGAAGTGATAGGGGGTTGAAAATGGCCTGTACTGCTTTAAGTTATATTAAGATTTTGTTAGACAGTGCACAAGAAAAGTAAAGCTAATACCGTATCCTCTCCAATTCAATAACTTTAAAACGTCATCCAATGCAGCTGTGAAGAGTTTCGGGACTATAACGTCACCCTGTCTTACACCTTTTTGCAGTCGAATAGGGTTGGTACTTTGGTTCTGTACTCGAATAGTCATTCTTAGTTCTACTGTACAAACAATTTAGCACTTCAATATACCGACAGTTAACTTGACACCGTTGAAGGGACTGTATCACCTCAAGAATTTCGACAGAATCAAACAGTTTCTTGTAGTCCACATAATATACGCTCTATACTCTTGGATTGTTACTCACATTTGCGTGTGGCTCCAACGATGCCGTGTACACCTGTCCATTGAAATTCTAAATTCTAAATCTCACTTAAAATCGCGGATGGCCCAATGTAGCCACACTCGATCTTCAGCTTTGACAGTTGGCTCTTTCTTGCAGACATATCTCTGGCAAAGACTTTGAAACCCTCATTCCGCCCAAGCGATTCTTCAGTACGATCTGTATTCAAGGAAAACATGTACAATAATTTCGTTTGAAATTTTATGTACATGTTTAGCGTCAAAACTTAAAATCACAAGACAAATTAATAATACTTTCGCAAAAATTACTCGTAAGTACGGAAAAATGACAACGCGTGTAACACATAAACTAAACACGGTGGCCTCTCACATCCGACCCTCATAAATCTTCAGATATGGCTGCTATTTGCAAGCACTATGCCTTATTATATTTTACATCAAATATGACGAGCTAAATTATAATACAAAAAATAAAAACTTTTATTTTTTACAACCTTAGCCTACTGTAAAGTCTACTGCTGAACATAAATATGCGTCCTATAAAATTGCCTCATGTGAGGAGTTTTGTGGTAGTTGCCAAGTTTAGCAGGCGCGTAAGCAACGCCATTTTTTTTATAAATTTCAGTTGTTATCAGATTTTACAAGTTAAATAAACAATATAAGTTATTATATAATATAATAACTTATATTGTTGGTAGTATAATGAAATATTTTATATTATTTGTTTTAATTTGTGCTTACTCAATTATTAACTTTAACTGTATTCGTTAATATTATTATTCAATATTAGTTCCAGGTTATCTACCCTATGGTACTTTTTGGTATAGTTTTGTATATTAAACGCCAAAAAATGCTTTCGATATTCTCGTTTTTTTTATTACATTGTACTCATATCCTACTGTGAAGATAAATATTCAAATATAATGACTGCTCAACTTACTGCTGCACTGGTACGAATCAAATCAGGCACTTTGAATTAAAAAAGTAAATCGTCAAGTATTATAAAGCTCACAAGCTTAAAAAATATAAACTGAAACAATTATAACTCAAGAAATAATTAATATAACATTTTTATCTGGAATATCTAAATTGTATGGGTTTTTCTAATGGCAACATAAATATCAGGCAACTTCGCCCTTTAATTACAGTAATTTTTCTGTTCGATCTTAATCACTTAAATACAACTTTACAGTGGCACTATAATAAGCAATATCAGTAAAAAT